AAAAAAAACATCGAAGCAATCTCTACTGAAGTCGATTCAATTTCTCAGATCAGAGACGGCAATCTCCTCATCTTAACTCGCAGTTCCCGAATTGCTGATAGGTTTCTTAGAGTCAAATCCTTCCCAAATTTATGTCCAATAAACGTCAAATTGCATGAAAGCTTAAACTCCGTCAAAACACGTGCCATACACAAAAAAGATGCGTCAATAATCCTACTTGCAGCACTTGCAACCTCCCACCACACTCCCCTGAAAAGTGCACAAGAACACTGCGCCAACTGCGCCAATGAGCACCCTTTCCTTTGACAGAAATTGTCCCAAATTTATCCACGCCAAAGAAGTTCTCAAAATATTAACTATGGAGAAATGCAGTATTGGCGAAGCACGCCGCAGGTATACGGAAAGACTTCCTTTCAACTTACAAGCAAATACTTACGCTAGCATGACCAAAGACAGCCCCACGGATAATTCGCAAAGTAAAACACAAAACAACAATCACATAACATCTTCCTCCATGCCAGCCAACTCTTTAGAATCATCCTGAGATATTAAAATAAAAACACCAAACCCCTCAAAATTACTTACCGATAGTTCAATTAAATCTGTCTCAACCTCCTCACCAATTCTCGCAACACCACAACGCCATAGCTCAGCCAACTTAAATACTGCAGAATCTACTCCAAATCCATCCCCATATGTATCACCAATTTCACAATTTACTCACAAATTGTTAAAAAGCAATGATTATTATATGAACAACTAGCAAACAAACACGTCATATAACACAGATGCATCCATGGATACTACCCATGATGATCTCTAACTCACAAGTAATAAACCACAAAAGCATCGATCAATATCGGTTTTGTAAACTCGCTGTTACAAATACTGTATATTTTTACCTGTCCATGGACATACCCAGAACACTCACCAGTACCTCGTATCTGGTGAACCCGCACCAAGGTGTTCGCTTTGCCAAAATACATTAACACTGACCCATATGTTCGCCGAATATACTGCCTTGGACAGTATTAGAAACCGCTACCTGAAGAAAAATTGGATCGAGCTTCTTAAGAATCCCACTAAAGACAACATAAAATCAATATCTTGCTTCATTAAAGGAATAAAAGCCCATATCTAACAGCCCAACCTGCAACAGCACCATGAGATGTTAAATAAGTATAGATTTAAGTTATTTTATTTTATAGAGCCGATAGCCCTGGCAGCTAGTGCTCATTAATTATGTTAACCAATTAATTTATTTAATTTGTTAATAAATCATAATAATAATAAATTTAATGACATAATTTTAAAGCCACTGCCAATAGTTTCTAAAATTACGTTGAATTTTCTGATTAAGTTTTCATTTATTCCAGTAATGTCATTTTGGAAAAATCGCTTTGCTGTGTTACCATAATTAGTTTTGCTAAATTCAGGCTTAGGCTGGTCTATAATGAGACCAGTTCGCTTTCTAAACTCATATTGAGTCTTCCGTTTATTTTCCTTGATAACAATTTCAATAGCTTTATTACTAGGCCATTGTTTTACTGGTAATTTCTAAGCAACATTTAGTAGAATCTCACACTTACGTACGTGCGTAACATACGACAATCTTTTATCCAGGCGACGATATGTAGAATAGAAGTGCCAAAAGATAAATACCGCTCATACACAGGCTTTACTGAAACACTTTGTAAGTCATTGAACTCTCTAGATGTGACATGACACAATTGGAATATTTGAGCTGATTTAACGTCTGCAAGTGTATAAGAAATCTTTCTATCAATCATACAGAAAATTAGATTGTGGTTCACTGTATAAACTTCGCCATTAACGCTTACAGCTGATGGTACTAAGTTCTGTATGTCTGTATTTTAGACGAGCGTGTTGGATAAGAATTGGAAAAGACCTCTCCGAGCCGTTCGCCACAAAACGGGGTTTCAGACAGGGCGACTCCCTTTCATGTGACTTCTTTAATCTGATGTTGGAGAAGATAATAAGAGCTGCAGAACTGAACCGCTCAGGAACAATTTACTACAAGAGCGTGCAATTGCTGGCTTATGCCGATGGCATCGACATCATCGGTAACAAAAACCGCGAAGTCTGTTCTGCCTTTTCCAAGTTGGATAGGGAAGCAAAGCGAATGGGTCTGGTGGTAAACGAGGACATGACGAAGTATCTCCTGTCATCAAACAAACAGTCAGCACATTCGCGCCTTGGCACCCACGTCACTGTTGACAGTTACAATTTCGAGAAAGTAGGAAAGTTCGTTTACTTGGGAACCAGCATTAACACCGATAATAATGTCAGCATTGAAATCCAACGTAGAATCACTCTTGCCAACAAGTGCTACTTTGAACTGACTAGGCAATTCAGGAGTAAAGGAGTACCGCAGACGATGGAACGATGAGCTGTATGAGCTTTACAACGACATAGACATAGTGCAGCGAATTAAAATACGGCGGCTCCGTTAGCCTGACCATGTCGTTCGAATGGACTCCGACGCTCCAGCTCTGAAAGTATTCAACTTGGAACCCGCTGGTGTTAGCAGAGGATGAGGGATGCCCCCACTGCGTTGGAAAGATCAGGTGGAGAAGGACTTGGCTTCACTTGGCGTCAGTTGGCACAGAAGAGAAACGACTGGCGTGCTTTTCTGAACCCGACCAAAATCACTTAGGCGATTACAGCGCCAAAAAATAAGAAGAAGAAGAATTTACTCAAAATTAATACACCCCGGCTTACCATGTAGCGGTAGCTTTCGGAAAGGTGAGAAACATATATTTAATACTTGCGCCGCGTATTTAATGTTCGGCTCCGCCAGAACTTAGACTTTCTTACTTGTTTTATTTAATTTTTTCAGTTCAAATTTCCATTTGAATACGTTGGAATGCATCTCGATCGAAGACTAGCATGGAAAACGCACATATTTACAAAACGCAAGGAACTCGGACTAAAACTCAGAAGCTTATATTTGCTTATAAATCGGCATATTCAATTATCACTTGAAAACAAAGTACTACTCTACTCAACAACCATAAAACCGATTTTAATCGGGTTTCGATACAAGTACTTTCTTTCGATAACTACTCAGTACTCGGTTCAAAAGTATCGATACCAAAATTACTTGGTATCGGATGAAGAGTATCGAGTATGTACTTGTATTTACTAGAATCGTTTTGTCCTTATATAGAGCATTCGAATGCGTGAGAAAAGAACTTTTGGTACTACATCAGCTGATTATCTCTGTCATTTTAAGGTTAATATCGCCATATGATCGCCTACTCGGATTGATTTTTTCAAAATAATTTTATTCGAAGGAGCATTTTTTAGGGCTGCAATAAGTTGAACTAATAGTTTATATCGTTGACTAAATTTTGCAAATAACATCTCTAGCAACCTCACAAGTACCACTCTCACTGTTGTATAGCTCATCTAGGGGACAGGTGGTATAAGCTACGGTGCCATCTTCTAAGCAAACATAAAAGGAACGACAAAGATCGCCTATGTTCGCATAGCGTTGTCCTGGTACTGCCTTTTCACAAATCTGTAAATAGATTAAATTATATAGTTAAAAAACTTTCCCGCAGCTATGCCAAGTAAAACAAAGCCTACATTCTCTTCAAAGCTCACTACTTCAGGTGTGCGCTTCACAGTTACTGCGGGCAAAGCGCATTCTGTAATGTCCTTTACACAACGTCCTATAGATGCATTGAAGTACAGTCCATCGGCACATTCGTGTACCGTTGGTTTCCCATTCGCACATTGGAAATAAGACCGGCAGTTGTCGCCTGTATATGGATAAAGTGAGGTATCGCTGAGACCTGAGCATGACTGAAAGAAATCCCGAAAATAGAAAAAGGTTCATATTTACATAACATACCTTCCTTATATGTATGCAAATAAGTATGTAGCTTTGAATGGCACTAAATTTTAGTGCAATCTTACCATAACTTGCCATTCGATTGACTGTTCCGCGACTGTACCGCACTGATTATTCACATCCTCGGCACATGTGGATAGCATCTTATCGAAGTACTCTTTTTCTTCACATTTCTTGGCAATCTTCTGGCCATTGATGCAAACGAAGTAGCTACGGCAGCTGTCGGCGTCACGCACCAATTGCCCATGACGACCGTTGCATTCGCCTACACGTTGTCCATTCTCCAGCAAGCAAGTGCCATCATTTTGACGGCAAAAGCCGAGTAAGCTATCATAGCTCTCTCCATTGCGACAGCGCTGAGACACTGGCTCGCCAGCGTCATTGCAATTAATATAGCGCCTGCAGTCATCCTGCTCAGCAATAGAAGTGCCTTGGGGTATTTGCGTGCATAACTGAGTATAGTTTGTGGGCTTATTACTGCAATGTAATGCATTCAGCATTACCTTCATTTGACTTGCATTACTACTTGCTGCATCCGCATTTGTTGTATTTTCAATATCCTGCTCATAGGGCTGGCATTGACGTAGCGAAGCATTGAAGTAAAAGTTGGTAAAACATCGCTCATGTCGCAGCTTTCCATTAATGCAAACGTAAAACTCATTACAGTTGGCCGGATCAGAGATCATGGAGCCATGCTTTCCTTCACAATCGGCGGGTTGTGGTGGTTCAGGTTGGTGATTCGATTGACTATTTTCCACATATGGACACGAACCATCGTCTGGCACGCAAAGCTCTTGCTTAAGGTCGAAGAACGCATCCTTTGGACAATTTTTCGTTAATGGCACACCGCCTAAACAGACATAATATTTAGTGCAATCTGCGGTATTGGGCAGATGAATGCCATCCGCAAGGTTGACACAGATGTGGTTTGTTGTGACATTTTTGGAAGCCTCCGCCAGTGTGCCATTTTCACACTGGTGCATTTCATCCAACACACAGCTTCCAAGAGCCGCACTAAACTGTTGCCCCGCAGGGCACGCCACTGGAATGGCCAACCCTCGTACGCAGGCATAATATAAATTGCAGTAACGTTCATGAGGCAAACGTTTTCCATGCTCTGCTCCGACACATTTTCTAAGCTCTTCTGATCTAAACCGGCACTCACCGCGGTCTATCTGACACTGACTCGTGACATTGTGATAATACTCTCCTTCGGCACATTTTAACCGCTCGGTGCCGTTCAGAGTAGAACAGTGGTAGTAGGCTTGGCAATCTTCCGGATCCGCTACATATCCTCCATCGGTAGCACTCGCACATACGCCACTTAGAGGCACCACACAGTTGCCGTCGTTTGGGCGACAGTAGCCAAGTCTATCATCGAAAAAGCTTCCACGCACACACTTCTGTTCATTTTCCGCCAACTCTGAGATACAAATAAAAAAATGTAGGCAACTATATGGATGCGGCACAGCGCTTCCATCTGCTCGACCAAGACAGAGGGCGCTGCGGTTGCTTCCAATTTGCTTTTGACCATTTAAATATGCACTCGTTGTAATATTTTCACTTCCTTCTACAGATAGCGGTTGACATTTGTCATATACATCATGTGGCGCACACTCTCTTGTGAGCTTTATAAAGGTATGACCTTTCAAGCAAGTGCCCTCATACCAGCTGTCTTTCAAACAGTAATAAAATTGAGTGCAATTCTCAGGTAAAGGATGCGCCTTTGTCTCTCCAACGCCACATACTTTGCGAAGACCGTTCTCAGCGCAGCTACCGTCATTGGGTATGCACATACGCAATGTGTTATCAAAAATCCATGAATGATTGCAACTCGCTCGGATCCATGTGCCGCGCATACAAATCTCATAGGCTGCGCAGTTGAGTGGAAAGTCGCGTTTCTCACCCTCGTCGCATTGAGCTTTATGAAATTGTGCGCAAAAACCTTCTTTATCGGATAGGCACGCCCTCTCAGTGGCATTGAAATATTGATGAGGTCCACAATTTCTCAATTCCCAATAGCCTGCTTGGCACTCAAAGTACCGATCGCAAGATAGAGCTGAAGGACGAACTGCACCTTTGTGGTCGCAAGGCTGCATGGAAGGTTTATCTTGTATACTCGTATCGAACGAAGTAGCGCACTGTCCGTTTATATTGGGCATACAATAGTTGTATGTGTGGTTGTAGTACATGCCAAGCGGACAGTACTGGTGCCACCATTTGCCTTCCATACACATAAGATACATTGCGCAGTTTTGCTCATAGCGACGCACTTCCATGTGTCGGCACTTAGAGGAAGTCATATTTGAATTAGGTTCCATATCATCATCGATCCCAGTTGCATTTCGCGCCACACAGGCATCGTCATGTGGACTTGGAATGCATGTTTTCAAGCGTTTAGAATAGAAATAGTGCTTGGGACAGGTTTTCAAACGCCACTTTCCATGGTTGCAGCGATAGTATTGACCACAATTTGGCTCCTTTACAGGCACCGTGCGTTGCTCCATTGATGCACTACAGATAGGTAGGTTTTTGACACGGGCATAGGCGCAAACGGTGTCATCACGCGGCTCCATGCATTTGCGTTGCTCGGGATTGTAGTACCGTTCGCTTGAGCAGCTTAGCCGAGTCCAAGCGCCGTCAATACATATTTCATACTGGGAACAGTTGGAGGGAACTGACTGTTTTTCGTTATCCATACACAATTTCTACAAAATATAGATACAGGAAATAAATGCATAGGTGCCTTTCACCTGTCAAATCGTCATTTATGGCTTGCCTCTGAAAAAACAGTTTTAATCTTGCTGGACATAAAAATACCTAAAAGTCTCCGAAAAGTAGTAATTTATTTAGAGAAAGGGGCAGGTAATCTAGCCGCGTAAACCAAATAACGGACTATTAATTCGTGGTATGTATACACGTTTCCATATGCCGTCTACGTGCTCCACTTGCACTTGAATTTTTTTCCGTTAATTTGTTTAAACAATTTAGAATAAAAAGCCGAATTTGATTTTGTCACTTTTATTACATAGTACATGAGTTTCTGTGCATGTGCATTTGAAGATCTTATTCGTTAAAAAGTATAAATAGTTTTATGAATTGTCATGATTGTTAAACAAGCGGATTTTCTAATCTACGTACATACGAATGTATATTAAATTATGTAGCATTGGCTCTAAACAAAAGGTATCGATTTCCAATATATTTTAAAGCAGTAAATAAGTTTTAAAGAGACAAGCCTTGACAAATTCAGGATTGAGTAAGTTTTTTAAAGAAATTTTTCAAAATCTTGAAAGTTCTTACATCATCCTCTGGCAGAACTTCTGAGCGCATCAAGTGTCCAATTGTGAGCGTCCGTTTTTTGTCCACCGGCTGACAAGAAAGACTAACTTGATCGAATAAATTTCCTGCACCACAATCGTGTTCTTCCAGCCGACCTGAGCTGCAGACATAGTAAAGTCGGCAGTTTGTTGGGTTTGACACTAATTGTCCTTCTTTGTAACCTCCTGGACAAGTACAATTGCCTTCAGGTCCTGGTGTAGATGTAACCGCTCCATTCACATCACAAATTCCGAGGTCGGGATCAAACAAGGCATCATCTGGGCAGGAGAAGAACTCAATTTCAGTTGCTGAGAAACAGTAGCAAAAACCGTGTGAGTCATTATTGGCTGCAACGGGATATGTGTTTTCCGAGGTTGCATTAGCACATTTGGATATATTGCATTGCAGCTGAAGGGATTTATGAAAATAAATGGAAAACACATATATGTATATACACACGTATGTAAGTATTTTTGTACGAGTATAAGCCAAAAGTTTGGTGTTATTGTACAAAATTAGAGCTTACAGTGGTCGAAGATATGCATATCGCAGTAGTTGGATCGAATACAGCACCACTTGGGCAAGCATGTACTTCCGCCACGCCATTTACGCATATGCAAAATCCTTGCGGATAGTTGTTGGCTGGATAAGCGACGCCATCATTGGTAGCATTAGCACAGACGCTCGAGTCACAAGGATCCTATGAACAGTGGATAAAGTAGAAACTCATTCCAAGAATAGTTTTTCAAATTATATTTAATCGTTACCTCTATACATATTAGTAAACTGGGATTGAAGCGAGTTCCATTTTCACAATTGTATTTGGTTACGGAACTCGGATCTGTGCTTGTGCAAA